TAATATCCAACAGCCATGCATAATAACATATGCTCATGCAAATAATGCAAACACAAATGGCACGAGCACTCGGCACGACGTTAGGATGACATGCGCTCAGAATGACGTGCATCCAACACCTGTTGATTCAAGTTAAAAGGCCAAGCCGGTTCTTGAATGTGAATTGTTAAGATCAGCGGCGTGATCGGCGTCTATGTAATCGACGAGGATGAATGACGGAGTTGTGAGGGTTGAGTAAGAGAGTTAAATGTTGGGAGTTCAGATGAAGTACTGCAGAGCACGGTGCAGATCTATGATTCTTAGCCACAGGCTTGCTGAAGTAGTAGGCGAGCTGGCTCGCAATGTAGGAATCGGGTCCGCAGATGACAGAGCCAAAAAGCAGGCTACCCAGCTGTTGCTCTTAAGAGTGCAGACCTGCATTAGGCATTTGTTCTCTCGTTTATAGTTGGGTTCAAACACGTGGTAGGGAAATAAGAGTGGTGCAGGTGAAATTTTGAAGCACTTCCCAAGTATTCCAGTATACTTTGGAGCTAAGAGGTGAATGGCTTCTAGAGTGTAGGAGAGATTAAGTGCTAGAAAAAGTGTCACATTGTGGTTGGTAGTAATGTCGACGCGGCTTTTCAGGTTCCTCTCGAATTGCTCGAGAAGACTTTTGCTCGTCCATATGTACAGCAAGTCATCAACGTAAACTCTAAGAAGGATGTAATTGCCAGAGAAGTGAAGGCGGTACATCCCTGGATTTGGCAGGAGTCGCAACAGCGGCAGCTTTAGCAGCAGCACCCGCAACAACTATATCAGTGGTCAGTCAATAGCACTGGGGTCCTGTTAGCCCTGGAAGCACCGGCCGTGTTGGTGGGCCTGCCAAGTGGACGTCGTCCAACACTCTTGCCAAACCCTACTGTGGCTTCGTCTTCAGGCAATGTATGTTTGACGTGCATACCGCAATGTATTTTGCCTTTGTCACGTACCTTGACGAATTTAGTGAGGCTGCACTGTTTTTGTGTATGTGTGTATATGTGTGTGTTTGTGTGTAAGTTTCTCTCTCAAGCGGTCATGCATTTATGTTGCCTATGGGGTACAGGCATGCAGGGAGGTACATGATATAGCCGGTAGGCTGTCCTAGGCAGGCAAGCAGGTGGGTAGGCAAGACAAGCGGGCCAACAAATATACAGCACTAGCCGTTCCTAAGCTAACATAGTCCTAGTCCAAGAGCCATCCGTGCCAGCACCATCATCCTCCTGGCCACCCTCAATCCCTAGCCTGTCCACCCATCCCTGCTACCGCTGCCTCCGCTCCCAAGCCTCTACACTCCTGCCAGGTCGTCATCAAGCACCAGCCACAGATCCCTGAGGCTAGGCTCCCAGGGATCCAACAGTGCTTGAGGGTACGCCGCCTCCGCTGCCATGTTAGATTTGTTGAGGAAAGAGATGGCCTGGGAGCGCTGCAGCATCACCGACCAACGCTGCCGGTAGTGTGCGTTAAGCCTGGAAGCCGTGGTGGTGAGCGGCCCCTGTCTGAACTTTTTCTTAGCAGTCGCCACGTCCAGAAGTCGAAGGAACTGGACCGTGTCTGCCGCCAAAGCGCCATATGTTTCAACCGCCAGCCCAAGGAACCCCACGTAGTCCGGGTGGCCCTTGTAGAGGCGGTGTTTCCTCTTCAAAGCCTCTCTGGCTGCCCACCCTGGCGGCTTCCGTACCCTAGGATCCTGCCTCTCGAGCACCGGGTCCGTCACTGTGACGTCGGTGACCCAAGTCTGTGCAGATTCCCGGTCCTGGAATGCGAAGTCCGCGCGCTTGCTAAGCTTCTCTCAAGCAGTCCTGCATTGACATATGTATAGGGTACAGGCAAGGCAATGGCAATCCTAACAAGCAGGTGGCCTAGGCATGCAAATTTAGAATGAACAGAATCACAAACTGGGCCTATGTTGGGCCGGCCTGCCATGCTCTGCTGCGTAGTCACCACACCTGTCCCTATTGCCACATCATTGCTGGCCTGCACATCCTTCTACAGGGCACCTCACTCCCTCCCCTGTCCTGCCCAGCCGAGGGGAGCCCTCCTCGGATGGGCGGGCCCCGATGATGCTACCCGGCCCTCTACTCCCACATGTCGAGTAGCTAGGCTTTGCCATAGGTCCCCGAGGCTTGGCTCCCACGGGTCAGCCGCTACCTGTGGGTGCGCTGCCTTGAGTGCCCTGTTGGATTTGGCCATTAGGGCATTCGCCTGGCAGCGCTGGAGCATTACCAACCATCTGTGTTGGTAGTGCACCGTGAACTTCGAGGCTACAGTAGTGAGCCTCCCCTGTCTGTGCTTCTTCTTAGCAGCCTGGGTGCCCAGGAGGCGGAATAACCGCTGGGTGTCCCTAGCTAGGGCCCCGTAGGTTTCCACCGCCAGACCGAACACCCCCAAAAAACCCGGGCGGCCCTCGTACAGCCCCCGTTTCACTCTTGCCGCGTCCTCTGCCGCCCACCCCGGTGGCTTTACCGCTCTCTTGTCACGCCGCTGCAGGACAGGGTCCGTGACTGTCACATCAGTGACATATGTCTCGTTGGACTCCTTGTCGCGAATCACCAAGTCCGCTCGCTTTTGGTTGGTTATGGGCGAGAAGGCTGCTGATTCGTGCAAGGTCGTGTAGTCTGCTTCTTGAGCCATCCGGAGCGCTGCGAACACCAGAGCGTCGTGAGTGTTAGTCCCGTCCCCTCCGTTGGCACACCGCAGCAGGTGGTTCGGCAGGCTTCTGTCCCCGATGCCTGACCGCTTCCCCTTGCAGGGGCACCTGTCTGTGACTGCCACGGGCAGACCAAGCCGGAAGCCAAGCGCCACTGCAAACTGACCGGGAGAGAAGGTGAGGTCGCCTCTCGTAGGGATAGCATGCAACCAATCTCCTGCCCCCACCCCTTGCAGGCTAATGAGCCTGATCACGTGCCCATTGTCAACCCTGGGCTTGTCCGCCCTTGTGTCTCCCACGAGCTCGGCTGCCCTGTCTAGGTTTACCAGCTTTGAGAGGATCAGCTGCAGGTGTCCCTTCACCTCCCCCTTCTGGTGGTGTTCCTTCAGGACCTCCCGAGCCTACTCTGGGAGCCGGTTCCGAAGGTCAGTGAGCGTCGCCCCTCCAGCCTCCGTCCCCTGGGCTCCTCCCATCGGTGACACCAGGTCCGTCACCTGCTGCAGTGGGTTGTCCGCCGTCATCGCCGTGTGCCTAAGGAGGGTGTTGGCTGCATGGAGGGAGGCCAGGTATGCCGCTGGTGCCTCGGAGAGCGGGTCTATCAGCCCCAAGCCACCGAGGCACACCGGTAGCGTGGCTTGGCGCCATACCAGGCTCTGCTCCAGTTTGCTCGTAGGAGCATGCATCTTTGCCGCTTTTAGTGCCGTCCACAGCAGTTCCGCACTCCAGTCCCTCCATTCCACAAGTGGTAGTGTGTCAGCTGGGGTAGTTCTGAGCATATACGAGATGCGTCGCGACACACATCTCGAGAGGAGGAGGAGTGCGTGTTGTGGGTGCAGTTTGCGAATGAGGTTCAATGGCGACGCCACCGTTCTCAATGTCGTTCGTATAGACCTCTTCCCGTACTCTCTGGTGCCCACCGGGCTTCCCAACACCCGTATCCCGTCGACCGCCGCCCTCAGACCTTCTGGAAGAACATCCGAGCAACCTGCAGGGCACCACGCCGATGACTTCTCCAGGTTGCACCGCAGTCCGCACTTGCGTAGCTCCTCGGCGATGCCGTTCACTCCCCTAATCGCTTCCGCCGGTGTGCCAATGATTGTGATGTCATCCGCGTACGCCATCACCACCGTGTTGGGGCACATCGCCGCCGCCCTCAATAGGGTTGGTTGTATGGCCGCCGCAAAGAGCATCGGCCCCAGTGGGTCCCCCTGGCGCACGCCACGTGCACTCTCGATGTACCGTTCGTTGAAGCCCGGGTCTAGTAGGAGGCGTGCCGGTGCGCCGTACAGGGTGCGAACTAGCGGCAGAAGCGGCTCGAGCGCTGTCCATTTGAGCGCCGTGAAAAAACTCCCACGTTCCACAGAGTTGAAAGCGTTCTCGATATCCAGCTGTATTGCGATTTGAGACGGGTCATCCGTCAGTAGGGCTCTGGTAGGATGTATCACTGTCTCCGCTCCTCCGGGTACTGCCACGCCGAACTGGACTGGGAGGAAAAATTTCCTGATATCGGGCGATAGTTTCCGTAGTGCCGCTTTAGCCGTTAGCCTAACTATCGCCTCGCCAATCGCAATCGGCCTGACCCCACCTCCTGGCTTCTCTAATGCAATCAGCCTCGCCGGTAGGAGGAGATCCCTAAGGGACGAGCTAAGGGAGGTACAGGAGTAAGAAGACCTCCCCATTCAGCAGCGCAGGGTCACGTAGGTGTTCAAAGCACGTGCCAGATGGCCCCGCCCCACTTCCATTCGGGAACTTAGCTAAAACTTCGCAAAATTCGTCCGCCGCGATCGTCAGGGACGATGTCTCGCATCCGGTAACCCATCCAGGCGTTGCTTCCCCCGCTCTCGGATGTTTTGTGCGAAGTTCTGCGAGTGTTGCTGGTGATTGCTCAGCGAGGGGGGCAGACTGTAACGCCGCTAAGGCTTTCGCCAGGTTCGCCTTCTGTACTAGGCCCTCCGCCCAGGCACACATGCCTTCCGGGTCCGGTTGGTGTCTGCTCGGTTGGGGGTTCGGGGGAATGACGAAGGCTTCCGAGAAGAGCACCTCCCAGTCTTCTTCTTGAAATTGCTGAAGTCGCTTCTCAACCACGGCCCAGCGGTTTCCTCGAAACTTCTCGATTTCGGCTCGGAGGGTCAGCCTGGGTAGGAATTGCAGGATTCGCCACGCACCCGCGCAGCTAGGAACCTTCGCGAGTCTCAGCAGGGGGATCGTCATACAATAAGCGTAGACACCCAGGATTTTGGGTGGAAGCTTCTGGAACAAAAAGGGTTGGGCGCTGCAACACATTGGCCCCAATTCCCACCCTTCCACCTGGCGCCAGACTGCTGGGTCATTTGCGATGTCTGCTGGCGATCTTGCCTTGCTAGCCGTCTCACTGGGATGGGCGCCACGTGATTCGCCCTTATTGGCGTCTGCCCGGTTTCCCTCCACCCTAGTTCCTCTGTTTGTCTCTCCAGCTGGGATACCCTGCTCATCCTCCAGTGACACGTCCTCCGAATCCCCCTGCTCCTCCTCCATATATTCCTCGTCTTCATCTTCGTCACAGTCATTCATTGGGCTATTTCCCTGTTGTTGCTCAGGCCTCCCGTGTCTTTCCCGCCACGGACCAGATCTGGCTTTCTCTCTGGCCACAGCTGCCGCCAGGCCTCCTTGCCCTGCCCTTCCGCGCGCACCCCGCCTGCCGCGCCCTCTCCCCGTCACCAGCGCTTGTCCCCGAGTTCCTACTGGCGGGTTTCCCGCCGCTGCCTCCGCTGCGCGTTCTCGCAGCAGCCTCTGCCGCGCTGTTCCTTCTCGGCGACGGTCAATCACGGTCACCTGCTCTTCTTCTACGACCGCCGCCCCGTCTTTCGCTTCGGCCCCCGCCCGTTCCACTCTTTCGTGGGGCCGATCCGCTACGTTCCCCGTACCTGATGACGGGTAGGCGCCGACCGCCTTGGCGTGAGGTGATCGTGGCGGCGGGATCTCCTGCTGCGCCCACCCTACCAGCGGCCCCGGGCGGGCAGGTGCCAGCCCTGTTCCGAGCCGTCGCGGACTGCCTGACTGCGGGTGTTGGCGCCGCATCTTCTTCGAGCGCGCCTGCTCGGCCACGGGAGCCGGTGTACTGCTCCCCGCGTGGGCTCACTTATCCGTTTCTCCGTGCGCGCGGCCATTCGTTCCGTCGTCGTCGCCCCCCTCGCCCGCCCCTGTCCGGCCAGGCTCGTCCTCGACCTCAGCTACACGCGCCGGCCACACGGTCCCAGCCGTTGCAGCTACCTTCGGCCTGGTCTCAGTCCGCATCGTCCCGCTCGGAGGCGCCGGCGCAGTCTGCGCCGCTAGCCCCTCTGCCGCAGCCTCCCCCTCTAGCGCCGGAGTCGGCGTTGCCTCCGGTGACATGTCCTTCCGTGCCCGTCCCTCCGCCGCCTCAGCCCGATTCCGCACCTCTGGTTGGCGCGCAGGCGCATCCCCCGACGTCTGCCCCAGAGCCCGACGCAGGCGCGGCGCCGCCACCTCCTCAGCCGTCCGCTCCGCCTCACGCGCCGCCCGCGTCGGGGCCGACTCCCGTTGCGCCGCTTGCATATTCGTACCCACCCCGGTTAGATTTGGCGGATCTCACACCTCTTGGCCCCCGGGGGCTTCCTCTCCCTGTTCCCGCTCCTCATGGGCCTCAGCCCCAGCACCCTCTAGTTCCGGGGTCTCGCCTCCCTGCGGCTCGGCTTGGATTTGTGAGTTACCCGCGTTCTCGTCTCCTCCCCGCTCTTTGCGTGATGTTCTCCCCTGCCCCCCACTGATCTGCTGTGTTTTGTGATTTCCACGTCCCTCGCCATCCTGCGCCCCCTTCACTCCCGTAGCATCAGCCTGTGCCTGGAATCTCCCGCGGCTACTGGAGCGAAGACGAGGTGCCTGGCACCACTCATGACCCTGAGGTGGACTGAGATGGTGTCTCGTGGCCACATGTGCCGCGTGAAGGGAACTGGAACACTCCCCCCCGAGCCCTCCTTGGGGTGAGCCGCGGCCTGGAGACGGGGCTTACCAGTCCCGTGGCATGCACCTGGCGGAGGTTGGCCGCTGCGTGACAGAGCTGTCGTTCGTGCTTGACCTCCTGCATGGCGCCCTTCACTCGCGGGAGGTGGTGGCGCGGGATCCGCAGATGAAAGAAGACCAGCAGGGACGGGTGCGACGTGCAGTGTCGAGTGCGCTGTGGGATGTCCTGCATCTGCCGCTTGAGCCTGCGGACCCATTGCTGGACGATGGGACTGGCGCTGCGACTTTCCGCTTGGTAGCCAAGGCTGCTGAGGAGTCCCGGCTTGGGATCGTCCCTGCGATCGCGTGTGTGCTCCGGTAGCTTGGGCGGTGGGTGAGGCGGATGTAGGTGTTGACTTGGCCGCTGCTGTGGTGGTTGCCTTCTTCTTCCTCATGGCTTGGGGACTTACCTTAGTGCTGCCCAGTCAGTACTATACTTGCATGCGTGTACTGTACCCTGTGCAACTCCTCCTTTCCTATGTTGTTCTCGCCACCCCAAACGCGCGGCAGAAGGCCGCGCTGTTGAGCGTCGGCCGCCTTCGGCGGCCGGCGCGAGCCGCTGGGTTGGGTGGATCCACTCTCACCGGAGTATAATGAGTGGAATGAACCAAAAGAGGAGGCTATATAGGTGCTCGTACAACATATAGGCGTACTGCAGTGGCTAGACTAAGGGCTCAATGCTCATGGAGGCTAAGGACTACGCTAGACTAGGTACATACCAAGCTAGAGAGCTAGGGAGCTGGGAGAGGCTAAGGACTGGGCCTAGTGCCTCTCTCTCTCTCTCTCTCTAATGGTCCTTGTATTGATATAGACGGCAAGTACAAGCATGCAAGTCATAGAGTCATAGGTTACACACATGCAAAGCACAAGCACCACAGATCCACAACTCCACTAGGGGCTCAATGACCGCGAAGCAGTCCCCAAGGTGCAACTCGTCCCCAATTCCCCCCACAGGCGGGTTTTCTACTGCCGCAGCCTCTCCAAGCTTGAGCAGGAGACCCACAGATTGGGCCCTTTGCAGGGCCACCGACCAGCGTTGCCTGAACTGGTGCAGGAAATTTGCAGCATAGAACGATGTGGAGTCGGCGTTGAAGTGGCGCCGAGCTGCAGTGTCCGCCAAGAGCTTCAGGAAGACTGGCACCTCCGCGCAGGGGCAGCCGTAGGTGTCCACCGCAAGTGGGAAGAACTTCACCGTCTCCGGCAGGGTGGCGTAGTGCTGGATCTTCTTGTCCGCTTGCTCCCGTGCCGCCCAGCCCCTGCCTTTTTGCGCCTCTGGATCCCTAGTGCTAATAGGGTCAGTAATGGTGACGTCGCATACGTGGACTGCCCCACCGCTTCTGTTCGTCATTGTAAAATCTGCCGTTTGTTCCTCAATGGGGCAGTGCGCCTCTCTCTCTCTCTCTCTCTCTCTCTCTCTCTCTCTCTCTCTCTCTCTCTCTCTCTCTCTCTCTCTCTCCCTCTCTCTCTCTCAAGCAGTCCTGTATTGATAATGGTCATAGGATACAAGCATGGCATGAGTAGTTTGGCAAACATGCTGCCCTAGAAGCATAGGCAATCCTGGCATGCATTGCTTGTACTATTCCCACCTTCCTTGGTACATGGTCGCCTAGGCATGCAAGCACCTTTCACTAGGCCCCCATGGTGGCTCAGGCGGCCTTGGTCTTGCCCCGGCTCCTTCTCTCCAGCCTCCTAGACTCCCAGGTCCCACACTTCCTCCATCTAATCTTCCAGGACCTGCCATATGTCCCCCAGGCCTGGCTCCCAAGGGTCAGCCCAGGCCTGGGGGTATGCTGCCTCCGCCGCCCTGTTGGACTTTGCCAGCATGGCGTTGGCTTGGCAGCGCTGCAGCATTACCAACCACCGTTGTCGGTAGTGCGCCGTCAGCCTGGAGGCCACTGTGGTGAGCCTCCCTTGGCGGTGCTTCTTCTTGGCCGCACTCGTGCCTAAAATGCGGAAGAATTTCTGTGTGTCTCTTGCTTGTCCCCCGTAGGTTTCCACAGCCAGGCCCAGGACCCCCACAAACTCGGGGCGCTCCTCATACAGCCCCCTTTTGGTCCTGGCAGCGTCCTTTGCTGCCCACCCTGGCGCCTTTCTCTCTTGGGTATCCCGCCTCTGCAGCACTGGGTCGGTCCCGTCACGTCTGTGAGGTAGGTTTCACCCGACTCCCTGTCACGGAAGACCAGGTCCGCCCGTTTAGGGTTGACTGGGGGCAAAAATCCTGTCGTCTCGTGCAAGGTAGTGAAATCCGCTTCACGTGCCATGCGTAGTGCCGTGTACACCAGCGCGTTGTGGGTGTTGGTGCGGTCCCCCCCATCCGCGCATCTCAGTAGGTGATTCAGCAGGCTGCTGTCTGCTATCTTGGAGCGCATGCCGCGGCAGGGGCAGTTTTCTGTGACTGGAAGGGAAAGGCCGAGCATGAAGCCTAGGGCTATGGCGAATTGCCCGGGCGAGAAGGTGAGGTCCGCTCGCGTGGGTATGGCATGCAGCCAGTCTCCTGCCCCTGGCGCCTGCAAGGCTATGAGCCGCACCACGTGCCCGTTGTCCTCGCCCGGCTTGTCTACCCGGTTGTCTCCTATCAGCTCCGCTGCCCTGTCCAAGTTAACCTCGCGGGATAGCCCCAACTGCAGCCGCCCTTTCCCCCCCCTCTGACAGTGGTGCTCATGTAGGAGTTCCAGTGCCTTTTCTGGTAACTTGCTTTTAAGGTCCTGCAGGGTCTCCCCTCCCCGTGCCGACACCTCGATGCGTTCTGTAGCCCGCCGCATGGGGTGGTCTGGGTGCTCAGGCAGGCCACTCAATAGGGCGTCGGCCGCGCATAGGGATGCCAGGTAGGCTGCGGGTGCTTCCGAGACCGGATCTATGAGGCCCAGCCCGCCGAGGCATACTGGAAGGGTCGCCTGCCTCCACACCAGGCTCTGTTCGATCTCCTTCCTCGGCACGTGCAGGTGTGCCGCTTTGAGCGCCGTCCACACCACTCCTTTGCTCCACTCCCGCCATTCTTCTAGGGGCAGCATGTATGCCGGTGTTGTCCGAAGCAGGTATGAGATGCGCCTGGATACGCAGCGTGACAGTAACAGTAGGGCGTGCTGCGGGTGGATGCTGCTGATAAGGTCGAGGGGGGCTGCCACCGCGTCTAGGGAAGCTGTGATCATGCGCCTCCCATATTCCTTTGTTCCTATGGGGCTCCCCAAGATGCATATGCCGTCTACTGCTGCTACCAGGCCGTCAGGAAGGCCGTCCGGTATGCCTGATAGGCTCCAGGCAGATGATTTTGCGAGGTTGCATTTGAGGTCGCGGCCGGCAAGTTGCCTGGTGATGATCCCCAAGGTGAGTGCCGCTTCCTGCGCCGTCCCCACGATTGTAATGTCATCTGCGTAGGCCATGACCGTGACCGTTGGGAAAATGTCAGACGCCACCTGGAGCGCCGGTTGAATAGCTGCCGCGAAGAGCATGGGGCCTAGTGGATCTCCCTGACGGACCCCGCGCGCGCTCTCGATGTGTGGCTCCGCGAAGCCGTGATCCAGTAGTAGGCAGGAGGGTGTGCCGTACAGCGTACGCACTAGTGGTATGACGCGGCTGAATCCAGAGAAATGCAGTGATTCGAAAAAACCGGCGCGTTCAACTGAGTTAAAGGCGTTTTCGATATCTAACTGCAGCGCCACTCGCTTCAGATCCTCATCTAAGAGCGCCCGCACCGTGTGAATAATACATTTGGTGCCTCCAGGTACTGCCACTCCGAATTGTACCGGGAGGAAGTATTCTCGGATGGGCGTGCTTAGTTCCCTAAGCGCTGCCTTGGCTGTGAGTCGTAGTATCGCTTCTCCTATGGCTATGGGTCTGACACCGCCGCCCGGTTTCTCCAGGGCTACTAGTCTAGATGGTAGCAAGAGCTGCGTCAGTTCCGCTGGCAGGTGGGTGCTAAGGACGTGGTTGACGACGCAGTGCAGGTAAGAACAAACTTCATTGTTGGTGAGCGCGGGGTCTCGGAGGTGCTCGAAGCAGGTGCCTGAGGGTCCCGCTCCAATTCCATTGGGGCATTTCGCCAGTACTTCGCGAAATGTCTCTGCTGTCATTGCTAGGTTGCTGGAGGCGAATCCTGTTACCCAGTTCGGGGTTTCGCTCCCTGCCCCAGGGTGCTTCCAGGGTCGCATTTGATGGTTCTGCGAGTGGCGAAGTTTGTAACGCTGCTGCTGCTTTTGCGAGATTTGCCTTGCGCACGAGCCCCTCCGCCCTCGCGCAGATGCCCTCTGGGTCCGGCTGGTGACGACTCGGTTGGGAGTTCTGGGGTATGGTACAGGCCTGGGAGTACAGTAGGTCCCACTTTTCCAACTTGAACTGGTCCAGCCTTGTCGCCACCTCGCTCCACCTGTTTCCAGGTGCGTTCCCAATGTTAGCTCTCAGTGTGAGTCGGGGCAGGAATAGCAACATTTGCCAGGCTCCTTGGCAGGTCGGGTTCTTGGAAAGCCGCAGCAGGGGAATCGTGAGGCAGTAGCTGTAGATTCCGAGAATGTTGGGGGGAAGCTTCCGAGCTAGGAAGGGCTGGGCACTGTTGCGTAGAGGTGACAGGTCCCACTCCTTCACCTTCTGCCACGTGGCCTCGTCATCCGCGATATCTGCTGCTGAGTGCTCTCTATTTGCTGCCCTCGCGCTAGCTTGTGCACTTGATTCGGCCCCCTGGGCTGGTTGTGGGCCATGCGGCCTCCTTTGTCCCTGGTTTGCGCCTGTGTTCGGGATCCCCTCCTCTGCGTCGAGGGAGATATCTTCAGAATCCCTCTCCTCCGATTCGATATATTCCCCGTCACTTCCTTCATCCTTTCCCCTCATTGAGTTTGCGTTCTGTCTTGTGCCAGTCCGCAGAGGCCTTCCGTGTCTTTCCCGCCAGTCCCTCGATCTGGCCTTTTCCCTTGCTACCGCTCGTACCAAGTTTCCCAGGCCTCCTCCCCTGCCTCGGCCCCTCCCTCGCACTCCTCGCGCTGCCGCTCCAGGCGTCACGGTTTCCGGCGGTCGACCTTCAGCTCTCCGGTTGGCCTGCTCCCGCAGGGCCTGCTGCCGGTTCGTTCCCCCTTGGTGGCGGCCGCGTCTCGCCGCGGCCCTCCTCTCCTCTGCCTCTTCGGCGGCGCTCTCCCTCTCCTCCTGCGCCTCCGCCTCTTCTCCCGCGATCTCCAGCGGTGATGACTGGTCAGCGCCGCCCTCCACCTCGGCGACTGCCTGGGGCGGATCCGCCTGATGCGTCCAACCCACAAGGGGCCCAGGTCGGGCGGGTGCCAGCCCTTCTCCAAGCCGCCGCTGATGTTGTTGCGGCCGCGGCTTCTGGCGGCGGTTCTTCTCAGGCGCGCGTCGGTTCGTCTGCGCCTCGTGGGCCGATTTATCGGTCTCCCAGCGGGCGGACTCATCCGCATCTAAGGGCCCGGGGTCAATCCTTCCGCCACCGCCGCCCTCCCCGGCCATCTCCGTTGCTTGCCCCACAGTCCGCGCGATCCTTGGTTCAGGCCCCACGGTCACAGGTGCCACCGGCGCCTCAATCGCAACCATCGACGCAGCCCCTGCCGCCTCGATCGTTGCCGTCGCTGGCTTCTTCTTCGTCACAGCAGCAGCCTTTGTCTGCGCCGGCGGCACTGTTGTCCTCTCCATTGGTGGCGCCGCCCAGGGCTGAGCTTGTGGCGCCGTCTGCGTCTTCCGGCCCGAGTTGCTTGCCGCCGCCACCATCGCCGATGTGGGCCTCTCTTCTAGCGCTTCAGACGCTGCAGGCCCAGCTGCAGGTCTCTCAGTGTCAGCTGAGTCCTTCTCTGCCGCCGCTAACCTCTCATCCTCCGCAGATTCAGCCACCTCCTGCGGCTCAGCAGCCGTCTCTGCCGCCGGTCCCCCACCCACCGGTTCCTCCGCCTCAGGGGCCTCCTTCTCAGCCGGCGCAGGCCTCCCTATCTCCTCCGTCTTCCCTCCCTCAATCTCAGCCGCCCTTGCAGCCTCCTGTGGTGCCGCCGCCGCCCCCCCCTGTGGGGCCTCAGTCTCTGCCGCCACCGCCGCCGGTACCTTCTCCCCTCCCCCCTCCTCCTCCTCCCCGTTTATCGCCACCGGCGCCTCCTGGTCCGCCTGCTGATCCCTGGGGGGTGTCATGGTCTCGTCGCCCGCGTGATGGTGGTTGGGGCCCTCCCTGGTGCGCTCCTCCTGCTGAGGTGCCGTATCCCACCCCCGATTCGCGGCTGTTGCAATTTTGCCGTTGTGTGGCTGGCGTGGCTGCTGTGTTGGAGCAGCTCCATCATGCTCTTCAGACGCGGGAGATTGTCCAGCGTGATCCCGAATTCGGCGAGCTGCAGCTGGCGCACGTGCGCGCGCGGTGGCTGGCGCACTGTGGGAGGTGTTGCGTTTGCCGCTGGAGCCTGTGGATCCTGTACTGGACGAAGGTCCTGGCACCGCGGCCTTCCGGAGGGTAGCCAAGGCTGCTGAGTCAGCGCCTTTGGAGGTGGTCCCTGTGATCTCGTCCTTGCTCCGCTGGCTTGAGCAGTGGGTGCGTCAGGTTTAGGCGGCTTCGCCTTTGTCACCTTGGTTGTGGGCTTTTTCCTCCCCATGCCTGGGGGCTTACCTGTTGTGTGACTCTGGGCAGCCTTAGTTGAGCCCTTTTATAATGTATGCCATTGTTTAACGTTGCTCTTGTCCCCTTGTACTCGCCTCCCCTCACGCGCGGCCGAAGGCCGCGCCGTCGAGCGTCGGCCAAAGTAGGCGGCCGGTGCGAGCCGCTAGGTTGGGAGGAACCAAGCTCACCAGAGAATAATGGCGGGAATGAGGCATTAGGGGAGGCTATATGTGCTCATGTACTCCTTATAGGCTTGCTGCAGGGAATACACTAGGGACAGGAGGCTAAGAAAGCCTTAAATCTATGCTATGCTAAGGCTAAGCTAAGCTAGAGAGTTTGGAGAGACTGTGGAAAGGGCCTAGTGCCTCTCTCTCTCTCTCTCTCTCTCTCTTGCTCTCTGGAACGAGCCGCTGGGTTGGGAGGAACCAAGCTCACCAGAGAATAATGGCGGGAATGAGGCAGTAGGGGAGGCTATATGTGCTCATGTACTCCTTATAGGCCTGCTGCAGGGAATACACTAGGGACAGGAGGCTAAGAAAGCCTTAAATCTATGCTATGCTAAGGCTAAGCTAAGCTAGAGAGTTTGGAGAGACTGTGGAAAGGGCCTAGTGCCTCTCTCTCTCTCTCTCTCTCTCTCTTGCTCTCTCGAACGAGCCGCTGGGTTGGGAGGAACCAATCTCACCAGAGAATAATGGCGGGAATGAGGCAGTAGGGGAGGCTATATGTGCTCATGTACTCCTTATAGGCCTGCTGCAGGGAATACACTAGGGACAGGAGGCTAAGAAAGCCTTAAATCTATGCTATGCTAAGGCTAAGCTAAGCTAGAGAGTTTGGAGAGACTGTGGAAAGGGCCTAGTGCCTCTCTCTCTCTCTCTCTCTCTCTCTCAAGCAGTCCTTCATTGATAGGATCAGAAAGGTACAAACATGGCATGAGTAGAAACTAGGCCATTGTGTACTCTTGTTATGCCTGCATTCATGGCCCTGCAAGATATAGGTGCATGCGAGTGCTACCTGCAACGAACTAGACCCGGTACCCTCAAGTCACTCCATCTCCTGATCCCCTGACCTCCTTGCAGCCTTAACCCCTGTCCTCCCTGTTTAGCTGCCCTCATGACCAGCCCGTGCTGCCCTACTCCCCCAGTACCCCGTCCATCTCATCCTCTAGCACCTGCCAAAGGTCGCCCAAGCTAGGCTCCCATGGATCAGTGGGTCCCTGAGGGAAGGCCGCCTCAGCAGCTCGGTTTGACTTGGAAAGGAAGGACACCGCCTGGCTACACTGGAGCATTATGGACCACCGCTGCCTGTAATGAGCTGTGAGCCGCGCAGCAGTGGTGGTTAGTTTGCCTTGGCGGTACTTCTTCTTTGCTGCCGAGGTTGCTAGCAGCCGCAAAAACTGCACCGTATCTGCTGCCAAGGCCCCGTATGTCTCAACCGCCAAACCAAAAAACCCCACACAGTCCGGGCGACCCTCGTAGAGCCTATGCTTGCTCTCGGATGCTTCCTTGGCCGCCCACCCTGGCGGCTTCCGTGCTCTGGTGTCGCTCCTATGTAGGACTGGGTCAGTCACGGTCACGTCCGAAACAAAGGTTTCACCCGATTCCTGGTCCTGGATTGCTAAATCTGCCCTCTTACGTAGCACAGGGGGGGAGAAGGTGGTGGTTTCGTGGAAGGTCAAGAAACCTGCCTCCCTCGCCATCCAGAGTGCTGCATACACCAGTGCATCAAGTGTCCTAACCACGTCCCCTCCATCCGCACATCTAAGTAGGTGATTCGGGAGCGAGGTGTCACTGATGTCCGAGTTTTTCCGCTTGCAAGGGTACTTTACTGTAACCGGCAGCTGCATGCCTAGACGGAAGCCCAACGCCATCGAGAGCTGGCCAGGGGATAATGTAAGGTCAGCCCTCGTTGGCACCACGTGCAGCCAATCTCCTGTCCCTATTCCCTGCAGGCCGATGAGTCTCACTGCGTGCCCGTTGTCTTTCCCCGGCCTATCCATCATTGTGTCAGCCACGAGCTCCCTCGTCCTTGTCTCCCAGATGTGCCTGGATAGGAGCAGCTGCAGGTTGCCAGCGCCTGGTGGGCGTTCTCTGAAGGCATGCAGGGCCGCTCGCGCGCTTGCAGGGAGCTCCTCCTCCAGTGCCGTGAGCTGGTTGCTGTTGGGGGGCTCCGGGTTCCAAGTGTGAGAGAGCAATGTTGTTGCCCAGCTCAGTAGGTGCTCTTTCTCAATGTTCATCTGCTGCAGCAGTTGTTGCGCCGCTGTGATTGATGCAATGTGTGCTGCCGGTGCCTCCGAAGTTGGGTCCACAATGCCCAGCCCCCCAAGCCGTATTGGGAGTGTTGCCTGTCGCCAGAGCAAACTCTGTTCGAGCTCATTCCTCGGCATCCGTAGTTTGGCCGAGGTGAGTGCCGCTTCTAGCAAGGTTTTGCTCCATCCCCTCCAGCTCTCTCTCAGCAGCGTCTGTGATGGTGTAGTGCGTAGCAGGTAGGACACCCTCCTCCTGATGCTTTGCGAGATGATGAGCAGGGCGTGTTGAGGGTGCATCTGGGCGACTAAGGGGAGTGGTGCAGAGTGTCAGTGAGCTTGGCGACAACTTGGTTTGTGCAGAATTCCTCTGTACCGATGAGGTACGCGGCGCATCAGATCAACCTTCACCCCAGGGTCTCCAGGCCGGAGACCTCCCCAGCCTTGCTGTGGACGGGGAAGGTTGGCGATGCGTCGGCGTTCCGGGTCTGGGGATCTCGGGCGTTTGTCCGCGACTTGTCTGCGGACAAGCTGTCCCCTCGTGCTGCTCCTTGCGTCTTCCTGGGGTTCCCCCCTGACGCGCCTGGGTGGCAGTTCTACCACCCCACCTCTCGCCGTGTTCTGTCCTCCCAGGACGTCACGTTTGACGAGTTGGTCCCCTACTACCGCCTCTTCCCCTACCGCACTCCGTCCCTCCCCCCGCCCCCGCTCTTCCTTGTACCAGGTCCCCCCCAGGTAGACCCCCTCCCCCCTCAGGGTCCTGCCCCTTCAGGAGTGTCCCAGGTAGACGCAGTAGAGCCTGTCGAGGTCACTGGTGACTCTGGTGCTGCTGAGGGTGCTGAGCCTGGGGGTGCTGACACTGGGGGTGCTGACTTTGGGGGTGCTGAGCCTAGGGGTGCTGAGCCTGGGGGTGCTGGGCCTGGGGGTGCGGAGCCTAGGGGTGCTGAGCCTGGGGGTGCTGAGCCTGGGGGTGCTACGCCTGGGGGTGCTGAGCCTGGGGGTGCTGAGCCTGGGGGTGCTACGCCTGGGGGTGCTTTGCCTGATGGTGCTGGGCCTGGGGGTGCTGAGCCTGGAGGTGCTCCGCCTGGAGGTAATCCGGGTGCTTCGTCTCGCCGGGAGCCACTCTCTCCACAGGAGCTGCGCGAGTGGTTTGCCCGGCGCTGGAGCCGTGCTGCTGGTGCTGGAGGTTCTTCGGCTACTGAGGGTGCTGCTGTCGCGGGTCCCGGAGGTGCTCGTTTTGGGAGTACTGGAGCTGCTGGGCCTGCAGGTTCGACTGGAGCTGGTGCTGCTGAGGGTGTTGGCGCTGAGACTACCACTGGCGTTCCTGCTGGGGGTGCTCCTGGTGCTGCTGGAGGTTCTGGAGCTGCTGGGGGTGCTGCTGGAGCGGGTGCTCCTGCTGGCAGAACTGGTGCTGTCCCTGCTGTTTCTGGCGTCGCCACGCGGCCTCGACCGTACTTCGTTCCACTCCTGCAGCAGGTTCTTGGTCTTCCACTTTCTACTGGTTCTCCTCCTCCCTTAGAGTGTCCACAGCCTGTCCCGTCACAGTTACAGTTGCAGCCTACCTCCCCTTTACCTGCTCCCTCTCCCTACACTGGTCCTACTGGAGGTCTTGCTAAGCGTCGTGAGCCTGCGTCTCGCCCTACGTCGCCTGTCCGTCCTGCTCCGCTAGTGGTCGTGGTTCGCGTCAGCGTCCTCCTCCTGTCCCTGGCACGCACAGGATGTCTCTGTGTCCGTCCACTGCTCCTCTGCGTGCCCCTTTGCCTTCTCCTCCTGAGTCCTCTCTTCCTGCTTTAGCCGACTCGGAGTCGGACTCTCTTCGTTCTGCCAGTCCTACTGTTACGCGTCTCCTGGCCACTGTCGTCACTGACCCTTCTTTCGAGTCCACTACTGCGTCTACCCTCGTTGCTGAGCTTGTCAACTTTGCTGCTCGCTGTCGCCTAGACTACGCTGCTAGTCTTGTCGCTGAGTCTGAGTCTGTCTGTCCTCCGTCCGTCGGGGGTGAGTGTGCCCTTGGCACGGACGTCCTTGAGGACAGGCAGGAGGAGTTCCAGTGTCTGGCAGCTGCTTCACCTCATCTCGTGTCAGTACTGCTTACCCCTGAGGGAGGCGCGGATGCACTTGACATCCCGACTCCGCGCTCTTACACGGAGGCGATAGAGGGTCCCTACTCCTCTCAGTGGCAGGCAGCTATGGATGCAGAGATGGCTTCCTGGAAGTCCACAGGCACCTACGTTGACGCTGTTCCCCCTCTTCGGGCGAACATCGTCAGTGGCATGTGGATCTTCAGGGTGAAGCGGCCGC